TTTTTAACTATTCACGACAATAAAAAAACAAGATTTTCAATATTCATAAAAATCTCACTCAAGGCTTATTGAATAATAACTTTAACTAATAAGACTAATTGATAATTTTATCATTTTAAAAAAAATATATCCTAATTGTTTTAGGGAAAATTAATGGTTAAAAGTTGATTTTTTAATTTTAATTATTTTTTTTGGATTTTTTTTGAAAAAAAGTGTGAAAAAAATGTGAGAAATGATATAACCTAAAATAGGTTAAAAGCTCGAAAATAGCTTTTAACCATCTTTCCAAAATAACTTTATAATTGACCATGTGCCCTCATATTTCTCAATCATCTAATATAAAATTATAATATCTCATTTTTTTCATTAATCATAATATCATAAAACACCACCGGACTATACTCCAACACTACGTAATAATCATCCTTTGTGTCAGAGCTTCACAGGAGAAGTTATTTGATGGGCAGATAGTGCCTAATTATATTGGGTGAGAAGTTATTGGTTGATTAAGGTAACCTCACGTCGTGGTCCATATTTATTGTAATTGACTAAGGTGGTGAAATTCATAATTTTGTATTAGATGATTTAAAAATATGAGGAAAAATTATTGGTTGGTCCTAGGACGTAAGGTGATTATGTCCCAAGCCAATTACAAATTTTTATGTCCCCTTATATTTTTTAAATATTTAATACAAAATTATAAATCTCAGCTTTTTTACCAATCACAATACATGTAGACCTCGTTTGGTGTAACTATTGGATTATAAATTTAAATTACTGTGTAGTGTTTGTTAAATAAACTGACGACTTTTTTTATTAACTTTTATTTTTTGTTATTCACTACTTATCTACATTTCTCATAAAAAATAATAATAATAATCTATAGTCTATTTGAGTCTTTTTCTATTTTAAAAAAAGATAAAAAATAAAAAAAATCTAAGAATATAACCAAAAATTAATATATTTACACTAGAAGCTAATAATTAGAAGCAAGGGTAAGCAGTTTCTCAAAATTAACTTTTTAAAATTAAAATAAATTGTTAAAATAAAAAACTATTTGAAATAAATTTAACTAAATAGTCCAAAATAACTTTTCTAAAACTAAAAGATATAAATTAGGTTTAAAAAAAATCCAAACAAACACCTCTGTTGAGCGATACGTAACGTTATCCATAAACCAACCGACAACTTCTCGAGCATGAAGGAGCATGGGATTTGTGATTCGCCTGGCCACATGGTGCGAATAATTTTTCCTATTGGGTAGTGATCAAATCTGGTACTTTGTGGGCGGACACAGGACAAAGCCATAAAGAAAGGGTCCGTACACAATCTTACATATTGTCAATTTATTTTATTTTTTTTATATAAAAAATTTAAAAATTACTAAAATAAAGAGAGACTTATTTATAAGTCCTTTTTCAGACACTTATGGTAGGCTAAGTCCTGTATAATTTCTTATAGAGTCTCAAGTCCTATTTAGATAGAAATGAATTCCACAAGATCCTACATAAACGTAACGTAACGTGACACCTACATAAACGTAACGTAACGTGTTACGTTACATTTCGCAAATTTAATGAGTTTTTATTTTGTTAAATTGAATGTGAAAATGTTGCTGATTTATGTTGGTGTCACGTTACGTTTCATATAAATATGATCTATGTTAACATTCAATTTTCCTAATATGACTTATAAATAATTTTTCCTAAAATAAATGAGCCTTAAATTATCGTTATTATTAACAAAATATTAAAATTTGTAAATTATTTAAAAATATGTAAAAAAATGTATTAGAATTACAAATATTTTAATTTTATTTTCTTTTTAAACACAAGTTTCAACGTTGTCATTAGTATAACCTATATTATTTATGATCCATTTGTATCATATTTATTTTATAATCTCATGCGTCTGTATAATATTATAATATTAATATATGAGATAGTAAAAAGTCTATGTTTGAGAAGTAGGATTTGAGGATGTTTTTGGTTAAAATAGTCACAAAAAGCAAAATTTTAGTCTAATAAAACAAAATATCACATTCAACCTATAATCATTACATTCTTTCTCTCACAAAAAAATTAAAAAAATCAAAAAATTCAAAAGTGCTTCCCAAATCAAGATTTTTAGCCCCAGGCTAAAATAGTCAAAAAAAGTCAAAAAGCCAACTCACTTTTCAAACGAAGTCTAAATATAATATTATTAATTTTTAGGAGTGAATAAATTAAAAAACTTACATATAGTACAATTTAATCAACTTTCTTAATATATGGTTTGATTTTTGTTCTTCAAACAGATGAACCATACTTCATGTTTCAGTCCATAATTTTATAATAACTAATATAGTTTGGAACCAAATTGGGCCATATTTTACTAGTTCAATTGATTTATATTCAAAATTTTCATGATTTAATTTAGTTTGCTCTTAAATCAAATCAATTTGAACAGTAGTTGATTAATGGTCATTTTTTCTGCCCCACTCCATACCAGCATTTCTCGGCTCACTCCGCATGGATTTTTCCCGCCCCGATTAAGAAGTGGGGTAAGGACAAATTTTGCTTCCTCTGTCTCGTTCCACCTGAAACCACCCTAATTATATTTATTAAATATATTTATATATATATAATATATTAGTATTGTTATTTTTATTATAACAAAATTAAAATACTAAAATATTATACATAATATTAATTTTTATTCATTTATTTTCTATCTTATATAATATAATTCTCAATATAAATTATTATTCGTATTATACTAAATTATCTATAATTTTTATTAATATTTTTATATTTTAACTTACAAAATTAACTTCCTTCCGTCTCTGCACTTGCTTCACTTCCATCATCCTTCAATTTGTCCCACCCCGATATAACACGGGGGTAGGAGTGATTTTTTAATTAACCCGCCACTAATCTGACTCGTGACCATCCCTACCATAGTTACTCTTAGACCCCGTTTACTTTCCGCCATCACACTAACAACTATCATTAAAATAAATACAATTTTACTAATCCCCTCACTATCAATTCTCTCACTATTTATTCTCTTACTACCAATCTCGTCCATTCTACTTCTGAAAACAAACGAGGCTTTATTGAGTTTCATATCATTTGTGTTAGGGGTGTTCGCGGATCGGTTTTGTGCGGTTTGCGGTTCGGTTTTGACCCGCCCGCATGTATGCGATTTGGGAAAAAGTCAACCCGCAACCGCCCGCAGAAACCGCGACCCGCCCGCAACCCGCAAATTTGTCATATTTCAAACCGCATCCGCCCGCATTATGTTTGCGAAACCACCCATTTATATGCGGGTTGGGCGGATTGGGCGGTTTGAGCGGTTCGGATAAACCGTTGCCCACCCCTAATTTGTGTCTCGTTTGGCATTTAATTAAAATAATCAAAAAAATATATAAAAATCATTACACCACTTTCCTTATTTTTTTTGAGGTTTAAAAAGCGAATAAAAATAGCAACTAAGGAGTTGTTTAGGATACACTAATAAAGATAAAAAGTTAAAAAATTGCTAAGAAAAAGCTAAAAATGTTATACTATTCAAAAGAAGCTTGTTGGGGAAGTCACTAGGACAAAATAATTATTTTGTCCTTTAAATTCAACTATCCAAAAAGTCAAAAAATTAAAAGTTAAAAAGATGAAATGATCATTTTGATTTTACTACAATATTTTATTATACATCTTTTCATAAACAGTTAAAAATTATCTTCAACATACATCTAAAACATGCACCGTTTGGGAAGATGGTTTGGGAACTTTTTTGGCTACTTTAATCATAAAAGGCAAAATAGGCTATTTTAATCATAACAAATAAAACATCACATCTAACCCATAATCATTACACTCTTCTCTCACAAAAAAATTAAAAAAATCAAAAATTCTTTCCAAACTAAAATAATAAAAAAACCAAAAAATCAAAAAACTAACCTTCTTTTCAAACGAAGCCCACATTTCAAACAACCACTAAAAAGCACGGTATTTGTGTAAGTTTAGAACAAGGCTTACGTCATTAATGCTGACGTGGGATAGTTCAGGTTGACACATTGTAAATGTGGGACCCAAAGGGGATGTGGGATTCACTGTGTTGCAACAGCAACAGTTGTAAGAAACTGTACGTGTCTATCTGCTATTGGAAGAGTAGAAGGTTGGTCGTGTAATCCAGGATGTGTTTCCTCGCATTCGATTGTGTGATCCTCTTGTTAAAAGATATTGCCCCCATTATCGATTGCGGTGACAAAATCTTTAATTAGTCATTCGTTCGTTAAATTCGTAGTTTAAAAAAATTAATTCATATCCGTCTAATAATTTGGCGAATGTGAATGGTGTGGATTGACAAATGAATACGAATTTGCACAACAAAATATTGTACTTAAAATTATCAGGACAGGTCAGAAATCCAAAAGAATCTAAAGAAGAAAATAAGTTAACTACCACTGTTAGTGTAGACATTTGCAAAGAAGCTGAACATATATATTAGATTCTTAGCAACATGAAAGAAAAATTAAATAAAAATGATAAGGTGTACAGAGCTTTTCAGTACCAGAGGCATCATCAATCACACAATTTTCTCTGAAGCAAACCCACATGGCATCCAGATCATCAACATTTAGTAAACGATCAGATTGCTTTTGCATGTACGAAATGATGAATTATTGCCAATTCACATCCTAATACTAAACCAAATAATTAGTCACTACGAATGAAATCATATTGAAATCTTGCACAACTCAATAAACTTTGTAAGTGTAACGCCCTCAAAAAAATACATAAAACCCATCACGTTAGATATGCATCGATATAAAAGAAACAAACTATTTCTATTCATCAGAGTAATCCTAACAACTGTATTACATGTTAACAACAAAAGCAAATGCCCTATGGGCTCACAGCTTTCCAAGTTAACACTTGGTTACAAAAAGAAAGAGTACTAACTCAATACATATTAAGCCCTTGGCTTGAATTTACATGTAATACATCAAAATAAACAAAAAGAGTCTTCAACTCTCATCATCATCCAAGCTATGTCCTTGGAGGTGGCATACTACCTGTACCTGAAAATAATGTCCCATAAAGGGTGAGCCAACGCCCAGTAGAGATATGCTAAACACAGTATGAGCAATGACTAAAACATTAGCAATTGATAAATGTTTAATTTCCATAAACCAATTCATAACCCATTTCCATTACGTGACCACCATGTTCATATTTCATTTCAATTTCCATTTCTTATCAATTTCACAATTTACATCAACGGCTCAGAACCTGGCCAACCACTTATATGAGACAATGACTCATATTAAACACTTCCCATTTTACAATAGATAAACATATTAGTTGTATCAACATCTCAACAGATAAGCATACTAGCTGTATCCACATTTCAACAGATATGCATATTAGCTATATCAACACTTCCAATGATAAGCATATGAGCTGTATCAACACTTCCAAAGATAAGCATATGAGCTATATCAATACATTATCTGACAAGCATATGAGCTGTATCAGTGGAGTCCATCCCCTATCTCCTCCCAAACAACATCCGGTTTAGAGGTACATCCCCAATCTTCCCCTAAACCGTGGAGTACATCCCCTATCTCCTCCCGCACACACGACGTATATACACAAAGGTCATATACACAATCAATCAATACATAACGTTAATGTATTCTATCAACCGTCATATTTTATGACATATCCAATTGATTAGTTTTAGTTTGCCTAATCATCATGCATTGTGTACAACAATCAAAACTACCCTCCACAGGTAGCCCAAGTAATTATTTCTAAACAGATAATAAAAGCTCCAACAGATAAAATATCAATATTTTCAAAAGTGAGCGATTAACAAATCTAACTCCACTATTCAACCATATAATGAGGTAATGTCATTATTTCCAACTCAATTCCATATAACCACCATTTTCTCGAATTAATCATATTAATTAATTTATACAACCAATTAGGGTTTTCTACCCCATTTTCCAATATTGACCCAATGGTCTATATTTCAACAACCAACATCAATAACACCATTTTGAAACCCAAAATACATATTATGAGCCCAAAATCACAAAACCCTCTTTAACACATTTTGAAACCCTAAGTCCCAAAATTTTCCCAACTTCAACACTTTATCAAAATAACCAAAAATCTAGGTCAAAGACCATAAGAGTGAGTAGGAATCCCTACCTCAAAAGTTGACACCCAACGAAGAAGATGATAAAAACGAAGTTGCTCCAAATCACAAGTTTCTCGGAACAAAGGATAGCCCTCGACGATCAACAACCTTTTTGTAAAGGCCAAAGGTGAGGAAACAACTCTAACTAGATCAATACCTAGAGAGAAGGCAAGGTTCTAGAGAGAGAATCTCTCAAATGGCGTTTTGGAAAAGTAAGAGAGAGAATGTGAATGTAAAAAGTGATTTTAAAATGTCCAGCTGTCAACTGATATACGACATTCCCGCTCAAACGGAGAACACAACGCTTGAGCGTCAAGAACAAAAAACTAGGTCCGCTCGAGCGCAATAAGTCCCGCTCGAGCGCCAAGACACAAGAATGAAGTACATACGCTCGAGCGCGAAAACCAGTCCGCTCGAGCGTAGATTTCCCCCTCCCAGAACTTACACCCAAAGGTACTACTCGCTCGAGCGCCAAAGTACCCACTCGAGCGCAAAGAAACCCGCTCGAGCGTAAAAATCACACCTGCAGAAGTTTTGTAGGGACACGAAAAACTGAGAGCGTGCAATCTCCGCTCGAGCGCAAGAAGACCCGCTCGAGCGAACCTCCTAAAAATTGGGCAACAAAGAATTGAAACCAAAGCCTAACCAACCTGTAACAACTCTGCCCAATACATCCTAAAACTCAATCAAGTGGAATTAAAGGATGACAACAAGGTATACCACCACCAATATCACGGAACCGAGTCCGGAATACAACAGAACAATAAAGGGACAACCTGGATCGCTATAGTAAGATTCAATCTAAAAAAAAACAAAAATGGCAATATGGAGTTCCAATATCACACCAAAAGACAGAGATATACGCTTGTTTCAATCTGCCAAAAATGAATTGATTAGGTGATGATGACTAACAACAGTCAACAAACGAGGAAAAGTATAAGTGATACCTTTAGAAAACGATATTTAGCCACCCTCTGGACCCTGTGACTGATGGATCCTTCTTCTGGTTTCTGAACAAAGGGGAAACAGAAAACAAAAAAAAAAAAAAAAGGGGAAACAGAAAACAAAAAAAAAAAAAAAAAGGGCTAAAGCATGTACAGAATATGGGAAAAAAAATGAAAATGGTAAAAAACAATATCATATTAACGAAACCAACAAAACTATGTGAAAATAAGGAACATTTTCCCTTCTGCATTTGCACTCAAGTTCTATCCAAGTACATACCAAAATAAATGGACAAATTTTGTCTGCAAAAAGAGCAAGAAAGAAAGTGACAAAATCACCTGGCCTATATTAACTCAAACACCTAAGCAACAATAACAATGCTTACCTTCTTATAGAAGCTTGGAATTGTGCCAGCTTTAGCACTCTTTTGCTGCTTCTCTTTGAAAATATTAAGCAATATTTTCTTTGTCTCAAGCTCTATAAATCAAAGCACAATGTATACAGTTATACTACTAGAGAAACATGCACGTGGTAATCATGGCCATGTTTACATCTGCCATGTAATTCATGCACAAAATGCCATATACAAGCCGCCAATAACAGCAGATAAAGAAATCCCATTTTGAGATAACTAACTAACATAAATATATTGTCAACATGCAATCTTTAATCCATACCCACATGAATTAACATTAACATTACCATCAAGCCTGACCAAAAAAAATAAATCCTAAAAATGTATAATCCATACCCACATAAATAACCCTCCTACTGTGGATGACCCACAAACTCCGGAACAAAATTTTAAGCCTCAACCTCCCCAAATCATTAACACCTAGTTTGGATTGAGTGATTTGGAGAGAAAAGAAAAGAAATCAAATCCTCTGGATCCTAATCACTTGTTTGGATTAATAAACAGGAGATAAATGAGGAGAAATGGAAATATTGATTTCTCTCATAACTCACTTTTTGAATCTCTCCAAATTGAAGAGATTGGGAGAGAAAATAAATAAGAAGATTACTAATTAATCGTCCATCTACCAACAAAAGAAATAAAAACATAAACAGTTATTTTGGTAATATAAACTGTAAGATTTTCTTTTCTTTTATATAGTCTATCCAAACAATTTGGAGTCTTTCCAACTTAACCAAACAAGAGAGAAATCACAATCATTTCTTTTCTTTTCTCTCCTAAAAATCCAAACATAGTGTAAAGACTGGCAGCAAGGAATCCGAGCCTTGAATTTTGAGTTGGAAACCACCTTAAGCTGGTTCCAATTCCACCACGGCATTGATTATACTGACAAAATCACAACAACAACAGCAAAATTGTTTTTGTATAGACAACTAAATTCAGATAAAAGACACAAATTTAAACACTGTTAAGAATGCCAAAATTGTGAAACTACATCGTCTATTCAAATTCAATCATGTCATAGCTGCCAATTGGTTTTTTGAGTTTCGCAATTGATCAACCAAAACACAAAATTGTCAAGGAATTAGATAAAATACAGACCCATTAATGCTTTGGAACCGAGACCAGCACCGGATCCGATGTAATGGCGACGGTTTCGGGCCCATAACAGGGACGACGATGGTGGAATCTTCCTCGGATGCAATGCTTCGTGGTCTTGGCCATCAATCGATACACTGTATATTACTTGAGATTGCTGCCTCTTCGTCTTTGTCTTTCTGATTCAGAAATCTGAGGAGCTTAACCTTTCAGATAGAGAGCTCGATCTATGCACATTACGATCCTATAATAAACTTGGAAGCAGAGACATTGCTCACTGGTTTCGAAACCCTAGTGTCCGCTCGCTCTGTCTCGAGAGAGTCTTCTTTTCTTGTTGAACGAATCTTCAAATGGTGATTTATAAGCACAGCTACGTGTTTACTTAAATTATAAATTATTTTATATAATTTTTATTTTATATAATTTTAAAAATTATGTTATGTCCTTTCAAATTTTTAATTTCATAAAAATAATTCTTTTATTAATAAATCATTAAGTTAATTAACAGTTTTTAATAATATTAAAATTTTATTTTAATTAGTAATTTAGATAATTTTATTATTGTATAGATAAACAGTTAGAAATTTTACTTTTCAATTAATTCTGTTAAATAAAAAATTCTGACAAGGAAGTATTTGTAATTTTCTAAACCACAAAAGGCAATTCGTATTTATTTTTAAGCCCTAAAAATTATGTTGGCCCAAATTATTTTTTTATATGTTTATAAACTTATTTACATTACCTTCAATTCTTGTCAACTTTTTTGTCTGAATCAAAATTTATTTATCTATTTATTTTCTACATAAAAAAATTAGTTCTTTGAAGTAATAAATCAAACAGATAACATGCAAGCATTTACTACTATCAAGCACGTACTCAAACAATCAACAAAATCATATTTTAATAAAGATAATAATAATAATTCTAATGAAAAAAACACTGATTAGCCCTAGGTTATAGTTTTACGCACTTAAAACAAAATTGGTTTATAACAATTGATATATCATAATAAATAAATAAAATAATTGAGAGAAAAAAAATCAATTGACTATCCACAACTATAATGTGGATCCCATTCTCAAAGACCGCATAGAAACATTTCACTCCCACACAACAGATACCACTACACATAATACGAAATTGAGGAAAGGAAGAAAAGAGAGTAAGCGCGAGCGAGCATGAGAGCAGAAGCGCGAGCGAGAGATTTCTTTGGAAGATGGACTGATTTTAGTGGGAAGAGACGCGAGCGAGAGAGATATGGATGAGCGAGAGATTTGGACCGATTACAGTGGGAAGATGAGAAGAACTGGAAATCAAAATTCTCTTACCGGTAATATATAATAAAACTTCTCTTACCGATAAAATAATGTACATTAAACAACCCCCAACCCCTCGTAAAAAGAAACTACCTGTCACGCCCCGACATTTTAATTAATCGGAAACATTACCAAAGCCTATAATTTAGGTCCATTTTTTATATATATATATATCTATTACACTTGAGTAATATAAGCGTAATAACAATAGTTCTCACTCTCAACGAATGCAACAACAATAATACATGCCAAGCTTCCGCTACGGAGCTACAAATAAATAATTACAAACCAAAAGATACATTTTTCATTCCCTTAACATCTATGATAAAATTTATACAAAAAAATACATGGAATCCATACTCTTCAACTAATGAATCCGAAATTCTCTTCCTAAAAAAGAATAAAACAATGAGGGGTGAGCACAAATGCCCAGTAGGAATCTCATAGTTCTACAACAATAGCTAACACAGATAGAAATGATCATGCATGAAGAGTGATACCATATAGTAAGGTGACATTTTGTAAGTCCAAAATATTATACAAAAGGTATCTTTTCTTAAAATTTCACTTGGACCTTTAAGAAAACTCTCTGCCATAAATATAGTCTCTCATCATTAGGAAGCCATAAATTTTCTTTGAAAACAAGTACACTTAAGAAAGAACATCATCTTGAATTCGTTAACCCGATTCCAAATTATTCCTCATTTCGTTTTCATTTTAATATTCCACATTTCATTTCCATTCTAATATTACACATTTCATTTTCATTTCCAATTACCATACTCCATAATCCGAAGGATTAGAGTTCAAACATAACACAATAATCACAAACCCTTTTTAATTCAATTTCCTAACTACTTACAAAAAAGCTCATAATCTTCCCTTTTGTCACAAGCAATCCATTAAGTTCGTCATCACTAGCCCCTAATCCAATTACCCACATGATGCCAATTTCAATCCTTAATCCATTTTCCTTCAGTTCATTTATTCTTCTCAATTCATGAGTCAATTTCATTATCTTTCAACAACCAAACTGAGGCTACAACTCAGTGGTTTTCCAATCACACAAAACACACATAAACACTTCAAATTACCATTTTACAAAAATTTCGTCGGCGGGATCGGCACCCATGTATAAATTTCGGGACTTTCACCCAGGACACTTTGGCCAACTTACTTATAATGAAGTCCATTCCCTTTCTCCCCCTAAACAGTGGAGTCCATCCTCTTTCTCCTCCCAAACAAACATACATATACAATGTATTTAATCACATAATCGCACATGGAGTACATCCCCTTTTTCCTCCCAAACAATTACACATATACAATATATTAAAACACACAGTCATATTCAATGACAACCATTTCTCAGGCTTATCATATTATTTACTCTTTTCAACTAGCACAATACATGTGATCCAAAATATGGTTTTCAAAAAATGAAACAAGTGCTCTTAAACATAGCACAAGAATTTTTAAAATCTTTTTTCAAAACATACAGTTTAAATCCTCAAAATCCATTGTATGCTCCATGATATGCATGACTTATAAATAGTCTGGTTTGCCTAGTCAACATGCAATTTTTACAACAATCATAGCTGTCCTCCACCGATAGCCTAAAACAAATGTATCTAAACCGATAAATAAATTCCTTTAACGATACACTTTTCCAAAATCTCATATGGAAGTGATAATGCGTATCAAGCTCCACCATCATCATTAATAATCCTCCAATTTCACATTTATAATGACAATTTCAATTATTTATACAAAATAACAATTTAATCCAATTAGGGCGAACTCCCCTTATATCAACCCAAACTCAATACAACCCAACAAAACTCAACTTAATTCAACACAATTCAACATAGTCAACACAATTCAACATAATCAACACTATTCAACATGATTCAATTCAACGCCGCTAAATGTAATTCAACATAATTCAAGGTGAACTCTTAAATCTCCATTTTATCATTTCATCCCAAGTCTCATGCCATTCATATCATTACCAAATCTTTTTACCCAAATTTCATCTCATATTATAGCATGATTTACAATATCCATAATAAAGGTTCATTTGCTAATATTTAACATAATTTTCAAACACTTCCAAAATTCAATTAAACTTGTATATATACAATTCAATACTTCAATTTCATGATTCTACTTTCAATTTGGGCAAAATCATTAATTATCATCATGAATCAACTTAGGGTTTTCAAGAAAAATCAAGAATTTCAAGAAAAATTGAAACTTCTCACACCATTACTTTTAATTCCAATTTCCCCCTTGATTATATACCAAAGATTCATAATCCACCATATTAACCCAACAATTGAACCCCCAACACTTCAAACCCTTCATAGCAACACAATAGAGGTTAGACAGCTCTTACAACATGAAGAGGTTTCAGGTCACCCGTTCCCTTGACCCAGACCCATCCTTACTCAAATAGGGGGTGAAATTTAATCTTCGCTAGCATTTTCCACCCGGGTGAGCTCGTCTTCATTCTTTTGGATGGCCTCACGTCGAGGGGGATACAATTGACTGTCTCAAACTGATACGATAGGAATTGAAGTCCCGACTCTACATGCTGCACAACTTCTACCTTTCTTGAGCCCACTTCTTCGTCATCAGCCAAGATAGTGACTAGCTGGTCGTCAATAACGAAACCCCCAAATCTCATGATGTACACTATATGCTCAAAAATGGAGATTTTATATTTATATAATCAAAATACCACAAATCTATCTATTAATGCAAGTGTTGAAGAAGAGCTAGAACCACTATCTCAAGAATCGAGCAAAAGAACTAAGCTTTGAGAAAGATCCTTCGCAAATCCGAACTTCAATCTGTAGGAAAATAAGATCTTCATGTATTCTTCACTTTTTGGTAGGAGATCTTGGCCAAAACTTTGAGGAATGGAAGATATTTGGGTCAAGAGATCAAGGATTTTCGGACCTAAGGTGAGAGGAAGGAAGAGGGAAAAAGAAAGTGTAAAGAATGATCTAGAAAATCACTTTTTAAGTCGCTGAATTCGCGTAGTCCGCTCGAGCGTCGATTTTCACGCTCGAGCGTACTTGCTTTCAACACAGATTCCAAACCTTCAGACAGGCGTAACTCTCTCATTCGGACTCCATTCTAGGTCATTCTTGTGTCCAAATTGAAGCCCCAGAAATAAGCTTTCCAATGGTTCTAGCCTCACATCGAAATTCAAAGTGTGGAAAAAGAAAATGGCAAAAGAGTGACGGATTCTTGTAAAAAAATTATCCGAATTAAATTCTTGGTTCACTCTTACCTTACCGTTATGTTACCACTTCGATCAACACCCCAAAATAAAATAAGGAGGTTCCAAATACACTAATAAAAGATCAAAAACAATCCCACTAGTCTCAAAAATTCAAACTCAACCAAGTAGACCGCTCGAGCGCCCAATCTTGCGCTCGAGCGCATAGACCAACAAAGCCGTCCGCTCGAGCTACCACTCCTATGCTCGAGCGGTAATTCACAACTCTCAAAATCTCGGACCGACTGCAAAAATACTGGAAGCCTCACAAGTTCGCTCGAGTGTCAACTCCCCCGCTCGAGCGGAGGGAAAAATTCTGGATTGCTACACTACCGTTCCACATCCACTTACCCTACCGAAACTCATGGCCAACGTCACGGAAGGTTATTGGTTTGTATTTTCAATTGGTTTTATATAGGGTATTATTTTATGTTTGTTTTGTTTAACTATATATATAATTATTAATGAAATTTATGTTACAAAATCTACATTTGTTGTTGATGTAGAACTTAGCAGATCTCCACCACCTGTGGTTCAATCTTCAGTTCTCGTTTCATGTTCCAGTTTTTCACCAGTGGCTCAATCTTCACCTCTCATTTCATATAGTTTCGATGTTGAAGGCAGAGAATTTAATCCTTGACTTGTTTTAGGTTTTTTTAGTTTATTTTTGGTAAATATTTATATTTTGAAGGGCTTAATTTTCAGTTAAAATTAATGAACTTTGTACTGACTGTTAAAA